CCCTCCGGCCCCTCTCCTTTACGTCATTTTGGCAGGTCCGATCGCTCGCTCTCTCGCTCTCTCGCTCTCTCGCTCTCTCGCTCGCAGATACCCCGCGACCTTGCTCCAGGCCACTCTTTCGCTCCCGTCGCGTCGAGCCCCACCCGATCCCACCTCGCACCCACACCGCCCACGCACGCCCGTCGCTCGGACGCGTCGCAAGTCGGATCCTTTGTCGCGCGCGTTTCGATCGCATCTCCGCCAGCCCACCATGTACGGCCGAAGCGGTCAGCAGCAGTATCGCGGCGGTCTGTCGTCGTGGGATACGATGCAGCCGCAGTCGGGCTACACCTCTTCGCCATCCCAGCCGCCGCAGCCTCCGCAACAGCAACAGCAGCAGCCGCAACAGCAGCAGCCGGGCTACTTTGGCAGCAGCATGCTCTCGTCCGGCTCGAGAGACGACGTGGGCGGCTACGGCGGCTATGCATCCGGCGGCTCCAGCTCCCACTTCCCCTCGGGCTATCCAGGACAGCAACCGGGCAATGCTGCGTCGTCGTCGTCTGCCAACTCGCGCCCCAACACCTTCGCCAGCTTCTCCGAGGCTTTCACCGGCGGGTATAACGGCAACTCGCTCATGCCCCAGCAGCAGCAACAGCAGCAGCAGCAACAGGGACAGCAACAGCAGGGACAGCAGGGACAGCAGCAGCCGAATCAGCCGTCCAACGCGTCGTACCGTGGCGAGCACTACTACCCGCCGTCCGAGTACGGCGCAGCGCGCGATCGCGCCGCTCAGCCCATGTATGCGCAGCAGCCGGGCGATGGGTTTAGCCAGCCGAGCAATGGCAGCGCGAGGGAGTCGCGCTTCGACGGCGCCTACTCGTCCGCCAATGCGCAGCAGGACTGGAGCAGCTACTCGGCGTCGTCGAATGTGCCGATGCAGCAGCGCGAGGGCGTGCAGCCGTCGCAGGCGTCGCGTTCGCAGTCGGCTGCAGCGCCCACGGCGCAAAACGCACCGCCATCCGCGTCGCCCTCGGTAGCGGCTGCGGCGTCACAGCCAGCGGCTGCCGAGGCGACGGTGCCCAAGAAACGCGGGCGAAAACCCAAGAATGCGACGCAGCCCGCGGCGGCACCCGCGCCGACCAAGCCGCAGGGGTATGCCCAACAGGCGGGCTTCGTCGACCCCTCTGCCATGATGATCAAGGCTGCGGCCAACGGTACGGCCAAAGGCAAAAAGGCCCAAGCTGCAGCGGCGGCGGCAGCAGCGGCGGCGCAGGCTGCGGCAGCAGCAGCAGCAGCACCTCCCTCCGCACCCGCGGCTGCTGTGGGGATTAGGCCGAAAGGCAAGCGTGGGCGCAAGTCGAAAGCGGAGCTGGCAGCGGAAGCGGCGGCAGCAGCCTCGGCGCCCGCTGCACCGCCCGCGGTTGTGGATATCTCGATGGAGGCGCCGCCAGCGAAGCGCAAACGACGCACCAAGCTGGAGATGCAGGCGGCGCGGGCGGCGGAAGCGGAAGCAGCGGCGAGACAAGCAGCTCTGCAGGCTGCCGGTCAGGTACCCATTCCCACCAAGGATCCGAGGGGCAGGAAGCCAGGGTCCAAGGGAAGCTACACGCAGGCGTGGAACAAGGAGATGGTGGCCAAGGTGCAGGGCCTGCGCGTGTTCGGAAGCATGATCGAGGACGACAAGACGCAGAAGGACTTTGACCGCGTCGTGATCGAGGTGCTGGGCATGCTGGATGGCAAATTGCCCGGCGACAAGAAGTAGCCTCCCCGCCTCACTCGCTTCGGAATGGATGTAATCTACCCCTTTCTCTCTCTCTCTCTCTCTCTCTCTCTC